GCGCGCCGCCCGCCGCGGCACCTCCTCCGGGAAGGCCGCTGGCGGTGCTGTTCTCCCGGTCCGCTTGCGGAGACACCTGTGGCTGGGTTCGGGAGGTCCTACGGGAACCTGGTGGTCAGCATCGGTTCTACCTCCTCAGCTTCTCCTCCGCTCCAGAGCCAGTCTCGAACTTGCCTCAACTTGTGCCTGAGCTGAGAAGGTGGGGGATCCTCCGACCTCCTAAAAACCAGCCCGCAGTTGGGCATAGTAACCCACGCCTGTAATTCCAACAGTGTGGGAGGCTGAGGCAAGAGGATCGCAAATTTGGGCCCTGCCTGCAATTTAGCAACTTAGTGAGACCCTGTTTCAAAATAATAAAGGGTCGGGGACATAGCTCAATGCAAAGTGCCTAGGTTCAATCCCCAGTACCTGCAAAAACAACCAGGACAGTGAGCCCTTCCAAAGGCCCACCCTGGGCTGCGGATGTGGCTCAGTGGTAGAGCACTTGCTTAGCATGCAGTCTTGGGTTCAATCCCCAGTACCGCCCAAAAAAGGCCCACTGACTAACCACTTATCCCACCCTCACCAAGTCCCACCAGGCTCTGCTCACTTCACACGCACACGCACACACACTCCCAACCAGGCATTCATGCATGCATTTGCTTACACACTCACATGCTCACACTGTTTACACAGACTCACCACCTACTTGGATATACATTGGGCACATTCATGCCACTCATACTTTTACACTTGTGGATACTCAGTGTATTTACACACTGATATACACAGTCACACCCACATCAAAGCAGTTACCCCTTCTTTGGGCTCCCTACCCCTACTGTGGTAGGGCAAAATCCCTGCTGTTCCCTCTTTCCTTCCTACTCCGGCAGAGGGGCAGGGCCTCTGGATAGGCCAGGCGTCCACTTCCTGCCCCCTCCACTCGGCGCCCGAGGTCGGCAAAGGCAAGCCCAGGATGGGGTTTGGCCGTCACCTTCCTGACACGCTCTCCACCCCAGGCTGCACACTCCTCCTGAGCTCACCAAACAGAGTGGCATCAGTGTTTCTTGTGTCCACTCTACTTGTTCCTCTGGCTCAGTGCCCCACCAGTACCCCTGGGAGGCTCATTCCTGCTCTCTGAGTTGGACACAAATGGCCCATCTACTTTCAGCTGAGGCTGTTCTTAGCGGTTTTCTGGCATCCCTTCTGTCTAGGAGCAGACATCAGGGAACAGGCAGGGCTGTCCAGGAGTTGTTATAGGGGTAGGGGTCTTCTCACCACTACTCAGGCCTCAGACTGTCTACAGCTCCCCAGGTGCTGGGCAGCATCCCCTATCCAGCTCCATGGCCCCCCATCAGCCTGTGCAGTGAGAGGCAGCTCCATAGGGGACCTGGTGGTTCTATGCTAGTTACAAGGCCACTGCTCCCCAACCACATTCTCAGGGACTTGGTGGTATCAGCCCTTGGAATTAAGTTGCTAACACAAAAGGTCAGCTGTGTCCAGTGTGTACTACAAACCATGTCTTGAAAATAAAGTTGACAGCTTGAACTAAAAATGCACATAGTGGTAGGGCCGAGAGCCCGGGCAACGCTCCCCTGCCTGTATCTTCAACCATACCACAGGACAGAGTGGTGTGGATGCACATAGTGAGTCCTCTGTGAACACAAGCAGTATCAACACAATTCTTACATAGAGGGAGACCCTGGAAGCTCATGGCAGGGTGGAGGAAACTCCTTCACTGTGGAGACTACCGCTGGTGCATCAGGGACAGAGGCAAAATGGAAGCTGCCCTGGTGCAGATGTTCAGGGCTCCTGGAGCCCACACACACCTCCCTTTCTTCCATGCCAGACTCAGGCACAGAACAATCTCCATGCCTAGCATGCTTGACTAACCTTGTCTCCAAAACATGCCACAGCTGGGCATCTGGTGTCTGTAGGTCGCTTTCTGCAGTGGACACTGTAGGACACCACCCAGATCTACTCCTAGACCCAGAGATTCACCCCTAGCAGCCAGGAGACACACACTGGCCCAGGAGTCCCCTCTAATGGAAGAGACAGCTTGCCACTGTGTTCATACCTCCAGGGCTCTCTTGGCCCCCCAGCTCAGTGGGATCTGCAACAGACCCTCTGGCAAACCCTACTCTCACGCTTCTCTTCAGTGTAACTCCCTGCAGGCAGATCCCCACCCCAGTGTCTGTATCCAGGAAGCCCTAGGCTCAGCCTAGCCTGGCTTCCTGGGTAAGGGCTTTAGAAGGACAGTGTGAGCGGACAGATACAGATGTCCTCAAGCTTGTACCAGTCCACATGGATACATGTCTGCACATGTGTGTGCTGCCTCATGTCTGCCCTACTGCCCTACGTTCTGATGGAGGAGCCCTTATTTGGAACACAGCCCCTGGCCCCTCAATCTTTCATCTGCCCTAGAGAAATGAGAATCAGCAATTGCTTAGCATACCTGGAAGTGGTAGATATGGGTCTGAAGATGCATAGGTCCTGTCCACCCTAGGCCTTGCTCCAGCACATGAGTGGGTAGAGCCCTGGCCAGTAAGAGAAGTCCTGACAGCTACCTTGGAATCCTCAGCTCAGGTTCCAGGCCACAAGTAACCACCCTAGGGGACCAGACCCGGAGCTTTGGAGGCCTTGAAGACTTCAGAAGAAACCGCCCCTTCCTGGGGAGCAGAAATTCAAGGATGGGTCCAGAACCAGTCCCTGCCTATTTGGGGAGGAAACAGAAGTGGGCCATGCTGGTCCAGGCTGAAGTCACAGCTATTTCTGAGCCAGCTACCTTCTCCTCATGCCCCAGTGCTTAGCAAAGGGGTCCAAAAGCTTCTGGACACAAAGAACAGCAAAACTGGCAGCATAATCCCCTGAAGGGAAAATGCAGCCATCCCCCCCCCCCGCCCCCCAGGACAGTGGCTGCCTTCCCTGCTCAAGGAGCCATTGATCCCTACCCTCAGGGCCTACCAAATACAGAAGGCCACAGAGGCCAGGTGAAAAGCTGCTGGAAGAGTACCCACATAGCATAGGAGCCCACTGGCTCTGCCCACTCCTACTCTGGCAGCTGTCAGTCCATCCCCAAGTGGGAGAGAAAACTAAGCCAGTGCGCTGAGCGCCTACAACAGTGAGACTAATGCTGGAACCTGGTCTCGGTGGCCTTTAGAGCCAAGGACTGATAGCCACACACCCACACAGCAGGAGGCAGTTCCGGCCCTTCTAGAGCCTGTGGGTTGGGGTCACAGAGCTGCTCACCCCAGTGCCAACTCCAGTCTTGAAGCCTTCTGCAGCCTGGGCATCTTCACCCTCACCTCACACTGACATCTTTGCTTTCCCAACAAGCCTCCCCAGCCCAGCATCAGGGCACACTGAGGACAGCAGAGGCCCAGAGCAACCCTTTCTCTCCTGGTACTTAAACCTCCTTCCGCCCCTGGTCAGCTTGCCATCCTGCCCTGCAGACCACAGAGAAAAAGCCCAGCCCGCCACTTCTGGATGGGCTGGCCTTGGGGGGGGGATTGCGCAAGCCCCCTACTCAGGCCAAAACATCTGGACAAGTGGGATGCTGGCGCCTGTCCTACCTTGTCCTCCTGGGGCAAAGCCAGGCTGCCCACTGAATGCAATGAGCCTCTCCTTGTTCATCTGAAAGGTGAGGATAAGAAAACCCTCCAGAATGCCCACTATTTCCAATATACCCATCCTCCCCTGAACTTATCAGGGTCACAAGGACACAAATGAGGCCTCACCGCCTTCTAGATTTTGAGGGACAAGGAGGGGGAAATTTTCCCACAGGAAGGGGAGTCATTGTTTGGGCGGAATGGCTGCAGGGGATGAGAGGAAGGAGGTGGGGGTCACATCCAGGCCTGCCTCATTAGCAGGGATTTATGATACACTGTCCCCCCTCAAAACCCCCGGAAGCCCCTGGAAGCAGCACACAGTGCCACAAAACAGCTGGGTGGCTTCCAGCAGGCAACAGGCAGCGGCTGCTCCTCCCTCAAAGCAGCGAGCTGTGGGCAGCAGGCAGCAGCTACCTCTCCTTCCCCAGGAAGTTTTAGCTGGGCCCCAGCTGCTCAGAAGAGAAGCACTTGGAGACCAGGGTCCTGCCCGCTGGCTTTACCTGGGGTAACTGTACAGATTACGGCCTGTCCCTCTGTGCTATCCAGCACCTCTCATGGGGCACCCAACTGCTGAGGCCTGTAGGTATTTTCCCAGGGCCAGGGAACCAACAATCAAAGACTGTTCAGGACAACACCCTCAGGATTTTTACAGGGTGAAGGCGGGTGGTGGGTTGTGATTATGCTCTAGCGGGTCCAGCGGACCCAGCAGACCCGAGAGTGGCAAACTAGGAGGGAGGTAGCTTTGGGGCCTCCTTTGTCGGGCCGTCTTTCCCCTGGGTCAGGCACTGCCCTCCCCAGATGCATCTGACTTAGAGGTTACAGGCAGGGCAGGCCGCAGGCAGTGGGTTTTGGGGACCAGGCATCAGTCTAGGGCGGCTGCCATCAGCTAGCGAATGTTCACAGGTCCCCACAGCCCTAGTCCTGGCCTCAGCTTCTTGAGGAGGCTAATGAGCTTGGACGGCCGCTCTCAGGTCGTGGGTGAGTCCCTCTCGGCATCCCAGGGCGGCAGGAGGGGCGGGGGCTCCAATGCAGTGGCAAAATCCCCGCTGTTCCCTCTTTCCTTCCTACCCCAGCAGAGGGGCAGGGCCTCCGGATAGGCCAGGCGTCCACTTCCTGCCCCCTCCACTCGGCGCCCGAGGTCGGCAAAGACAAGCCCAGGACGGAGGTTTGGCCGTCGCCTTCCTGGCACGCTCTCCGCCGTCAGCCTCCGCAAGCTGAGGCCCAGGCCTTCCCAACGCAGGTCTTCCGGCCCAGGGCCCTCGAGAGGGCAGACCAGGCGCCTGGCGCTTGGCCCATCCGGGGGGAGTGGGCTCTGCGGCCGTCAGGTGGCTCCTTGGGGCGAGGTCAGGGCTGCACACCCAGCCGCCTCCGCTCCTGACTCGCTCACAACTTGCCCACGCTGCAGTCGCCGCGGGGAAGGAGGAGCCCAGTGGCCTGGCCCCGCCCCTTGGTCACTGCGCAGGCGCCGCCCCGCCCCCGCCCCCGAAGGCGCTTCCGGGCAGCGGATTGCGGGCGCGCGGCGGGTCTCAGGTGAGTTCGCGCAGTGGTGGCGGCGGCGGCTAGCAGCCCCATCCCCGTGGCCCCGGGCAGGAGTCTGGGGCGAAACCGGTGACTGTGACTGTGACTGCGCCCTCTAGTCCCGACGGGGCCTCAGTTTTTCGGACGAGCCCACCGCTCAAGGGGCGTCCGGGCAGAGCAGCCTTTGAGTGATCCGACGTGGTGGGGCCGGCCCGGGGCCATACCGGGTCAGATCCGGGCCGCAGCGTCGCGCAGTCTGAGCCCGCGGCGAGCTGGCACAGTGGGCCAGGCTGCAGAGACGGTAACGTCAGCGTCCATTCCCGGCGGACTGGCGGTCTCAGTCCAACGTGGACGTCAGTACAGATGTTAAAAATAATGGGTTTCTGTTGTGTACTGCCGAAGACCAGCCGTGGAGCAGCCTTGCCACTCACGGTCTTTTTTGACACCCTCTCCTCTTTGACCCTCTAATAGCTGAAGATATGTGATCAGATTTCCCTAGCCTTGTGGAGAACCTCCTCGGAAGAGCTCTTGTCCTACTGGCTTCGTACTCCTTACTCTGATACGCTGAGGGGCAATGAGGCAGTAGGCACTTATTAGGGACCTGCAGGGGCCATGCCCTGAGCAGTTGGGATGGAGCAGGGCAGATGGCAGTCCCATGCTCCCCCACCTGTGTGTGCCAGGCCTTCTGGGCCATTCCCAAGCATTGGCAAGTAGGAGCTTTGCTCACCTATCAGTCATGCAGTTGAGAGGAAGAACCCAAGTCTATTTTTCTGCCAGGCACTGTCCAGATCTTGCCCAGGTCAGAGCTGTGTTTTTAAATTCTTGCCCAAGGTTAGATACAAAGAGCAGCATTCCAGAAACAAACTGAGAAGCCCCCTCTGAGTTCACATAATGAATGGGAATGAGGAGATCCTAGCGCTCATGTTCAAGTCTTAAGCACCAACTGCCCCCTCCCCAGGTCCTACAGCTCACGCACCCAAGCTGTTCATTTTCCACGTGTGCAGGGTATGTGGGACAGAGTGGCCACACTGCTACCACCAGCAGCCTGTCATCACCTGTGATCATTTCCCAAGGGCCCCTGAGGTCGAATGTCAGCTGTGACATTGTTTGTGCCTCATAACCACACAGGAGGTAGGTACCCCCACTTTGCTGATGAAGAAAAAGCAGTCACATCTTTTTCAGTACTGGGGACTGAGCTCAGTACTAAGCTGTATTCACCCCCTTTTTGTTTTCTGATACAGGGTCTAAGTGGAGCTCAGGCTGACATTGAACTCATGGCAATCCCCATGCCTCAGCCTCCTGAGTGCTGGGATTACAAGTGTACACCACCATGCCTGGCTTTATTTATTTATTTTTTTCCTGTAACGGGAATCGAACTCACAACCTTGTACTTGCCAGGCAGGCGCTTTGCCGCTGAGCTAAATCCCCAGCCCTCATGCCTGGCTTTATATTTCCAACCCTTTTAAAACTTTTTTTTTTCTTTTTTTGGAGACAGGGTCTTACCATGTAGTTTAAACTAGCCTTGAACTCACTATGTGGCCCAGGCTGGCCTTGAACTCAAGGTGATCTGCCTCAGGCTCCAGGAGAATGCTGAGATTATAGCTGTGCACTACCACAGCTGGCTCTTTTTAAATATTTTTGAGACAGGGTCTCACTAAATTGCCCAGGCTGGCCTTGAACTTCCAGTCCTCCTGCTTTAGCCTCCAGTGTAGCTGGGATTATAGGCATGTGCCATTGTGCTCAGCCCCATCTGCTGCTGGAAGTCCCTGAGCCTGATTCACCACACAACTATCTATCCCCTCCTACTCAGATACTTAATTTGGTTTTTTCCCATTACAGCTTTCCTGAAGGATGAGGCAAAAAAAGAAACTGGCAGAGGCAGAGCAGCAGAGCCCAACAGACACAGACCAGATGCCTTCCTCCAAGAAGGCTTACTTGGGACCACGCTTAACCCTGGGCTCCCAGCGCAGCATCTATTTCTGTCAGAACCCAAAGGACCACTCTGCTCGATTGGGGTCAGAGTTTTTTGACCAGCCAGCAGTCTCCCTGGCCCGGGCATTTCTGGGACAGGTAATGTACATGTAGCAGTATGGTCTCTGCTGAAGTGCTAGTGCAGGCCATGCAGGTATCCTGCACCCAGCCGTCTCATCATTGGTGACTTACTCTTTGTTGACCATTCTTGTGTTCATGCAAGTGGCTGTTTTGTCCACACTGGTCCCTGGATAGTTCATCTCAGAGACGGGGATCCCTGGGAAGAATGAGGAGATTGCCAGTGCTGCTGGCTCCAGTGGAGGCTGGGCAGCCGCTGTCAGCCTCCTATTATGACCAGGGACAAGAATTCTGCATTGTTAGCTTTCCCCACCTGGGAAATAGAGCTTTGTCCCTGTTCTACCTGAGACAACCCACTTCCCCGTGGGGCAGGTTACTTGCCAGGACTATGAATAGTGTTGGCTCCCACATTTTTGAGGGGCCACGGTTGTCCAGCCTATCTCCTAACATGGTGCTCCTGGTGGGGCTTGGTTGTATCATTAGTGACAGTTTTAGACATATAAGAACTGTGACTGAGGCCACCATTGGGTTGCCAGCATCAGAATTCCCTTGGGACATTCACCTTCTCACTGTGCGGCTTATCATGCCACTGCTGCCTTTTTAGTGGCCCCTGTGGGTCAGTACAAGTCAGGATCTGGGCTCTGCCAGGCATACTTGGAAAGGGAAGCAGGGCCCGCCCAAGGCCCATCCTGGGGTGCCTGTGGAGCAGCCTTTCACATGTGCACAACTGGAGTTTTGGCTGAGTCTGTGCAGAGTATCACCGGCTATTGTTCTAGGATGCCTGTACCCCAGGCCTGACTTTCTGGTTCTCTGGGCTGAGATTCCCTGGGCTGTTTGTCCTTTAACAAGCCTATTTTTAGATTATATATATATTTTTTTCGGTACCGGAATCAAACTCAGGACCTTGCGCTTGCCAGGCAGGCACTTGTGCCACTGAGCTATATTCCTGGCCCTATTTTTAGATTAAAATAGCCAATGAGAGTGAGTTTCAGTAACTGATAAAAAAACTTGTGCCAAAAAAAGAGAAAACCTTATATCAAGAATTAGAACAGAACAGACCCTAACCTAGTAGAGAAGGGATAAGATTTTGTTCCTGTGAGGATGCTTTCATTGTTCACAGGATCCATCTGAAACACCTCAATAATGCCCATTTTTGCAGTGACAAAACAGCCAGTGGAGCAGGTACGATTCGGGCCTGGGTTAAGGGACAAAGGGCAGCAGCCACAGCACAACAGTCTATTCAGCATGCTCAGTGTGTTAGTTTCCCTTTAGGCCCCTGCCATACCTACTTGAGCCTATTGTGAACAAAATGATGTCCAGCAGAAAAGAGGGTGTCTTACCCTGTGTGTCCCCTTGGAGGTGTGGGAGCCTGCAGAGTGAAGCCACTGGAGGAATGCTTCCTCTGAGCACCCACAAAGATGGGATGGGGCTACCCCTTCTCTCCTGGAGGTAGTCTAGCCAAGCCTGAAGTGTTCACTCCTATCTTCAGTGCTTTGAATGCCTGCACGGATTTCTGAGCTTATAGGACAGACACTGACCTTCTTCATCCCTCTACCCTGCCCTGTGATACCTTCAAGGTACCATGGGGCTACCTGGGCAGAGGCAGTGGTGACCTGACTGTCCAACTAATCTAAAGAATGGGCAAGTGCTGTGGATGTGACTGGTCTCTGAAGCTCCATTGTGAACCATGGTTTAGTCAGGCCTGGAGTTGCAGATACTGGAGTGGGATGCTGGCCATTCCATGGTCCAGGCTGGTGCACTGCAGGGTAGCTGATCCCACTGCTCAGAACATCTAAGAACTGGTGGGTGGGAGCTGCATGTGAAGGGCTCTTTGTGGCTACTGGATGAGGCCAGGTTGGGGACATGCCACAGGCTCCAGAATATCGTAAGAGGCTACGTGGGAACACCCTTGTTTCTTCTACACTATCTGGTGTCACGCTGAACATTTACCGTTCCCTTAAGGGAAACTGGGGAAGGAGGTGAGGAAACTGAGATGACCTGAAGGTTGAACTTCACAGCGCATTCTCAGTGAACCAAGTCCTAGCTAGAGCTTAAGGTGGCTCCAACTTGTGGTCAGGACCCTCAGTGAACAGGGCTTATAGTCTGATGGTCAAGCAGGGCTGGTGGCCTCCATGGCATTCAGGTACTGAGCAGGAGCAACAGAAAAGGCAGGATGGAGGAGCCAGGTGGAAAGGCTTGGCACATCCCAAGTTGGGGAGAGCAGGTCCAGTGGGGACTGTCAGATTGTGTAGAGCCCTATCCTTCTGGCCCTGAGCAGACTGACTGCCCACAGGTCCTTGTCCGGCGACTTGGTGATGGCACAGAACTGCGTGGCTGCATTGTGGAAACTGAGGCATACTTGGGACCCGAGGACGAAGCTGCCCACTCAAGGGGAGGCCGGCAGACCCCCCGCAATCGCAGCATGTTCATGAAGCCTGGGACCCTGTATGTGTACCTCATCTATGGCATGTACTTCTGCATGAATGTCTCTAGCCAAGGTTAGTGGTGCTGGGCATGAGGGAGCAGAAGAGCTGGCAGAGCCCTATCAGCTGGCAGCTGGGGAGGCCCTAGGAGGATGGGTGGGCAGGCATTTAAACAGGGAGCTGCCAAGGGTCAAGTCTAGGTGTCAGGAGCTCTGGTTGCAATGATTTGGAAGGGGATAGTCCCGGGAAAATGAGGTGACTTTAGTTTGGGGTAAGCTGGGCTTAGGCAGGAGCTTTTCCAACTGGCCTGTTGGAAGTCTGGATCAGTTCTCAGCCAGAGGAAATTCTGCCTCTTAGGGGACATCAGGCAACATCTGGAGACATTTTCTGGTCATCATAGCTAGGGGGTGCTATTGACATCTAGTGGGTAGAGGCCAGAGATGGTGCTAACTTCCCTACAATGCATAGGATGGCGCCCACCAGAGAATCCTCTGGCCCTGAAGGTCATTAGCAGAGTGCTCCTGGGAGAACTTGCTTACTTCTGTTGGTCTGGCTTTGTCCTTGGTCAGTGTGGTAGCCCTATGTTCTGGGTGGTGTCTCAGAGCATGAGGCAGGCCAGCACCTGGGTCCAGAGCACCGTCCTGTCAAAGCCACTGCTGTCCAGGAGTACCATCTGTCTGGCCCACCCTTCCTAGCCAGTCCCAGCATCTGGGCTCTTCATGCCTGCTTCCAGATGGGCAAATGCCAGAGATGGCCAGTGAGGAACTCACAGTCTGGCATGTTGCAGGGTCACACATTTGTTGAGCAAGTACAGAGCAGACAGATGGAGGCATCTAAGGCAAGAGCCTCCAGGGCTGGAGGACTCAGAGACTGCAAGACTGGCCCAACGGCTGACATAAAACAGATGTTGAGTGAAACTCTGGGTGACTGGATATGAAAAGATGGTGGAGGCCGGGCGTGGTGGCACACGCCTGTAACCCCAGCACTCAGGAGGCTGAGACAGGAGGATCATTGTGAGTTCGAGGCCAGC